GAAGATCTCGGGTCTGGAAATAGTCCACGGTGACGGTTCCAACCCTGGAACAATCTGTCGTGGTAGCGCCGAACTTGAAATAAATACCCGTGATGGTGCCGTTCCGGGAATTAACTGCCGCCAAGGTCCCGTACCTGGAATAAATTTCCGTARTGTTGCCGAACCTGAAAATGTTATMGTGAGATGTGTCAARCCGATGTCGATCCTGAGATATGGCGGGGCARCAGTTCCGGCCCTGAAATTGACCCGCGGTGGCGGCTCCAAACCCGAAATAATCTGTCGTAGGGGTTCTGGAYCTGAAATAAATCGTCGTGAGGGCGTCRAACCTGAAACGAAACACCGTGATGCCACCGAACCTGACCAAACCCGRAATCAAATACCGGGCCGCTATGCCACGCGGATGGYGAACCGTACAASCATGCCATGATAATTCCGTACCTGTCYCGAACCTGATATAGAATGCCGGAACGTTTYCGGACCTGAGAACAAACTGCCGCCAGGGTTCCAAACCTGAAATAACTGTCGTAGCGGCCCCAGTCCTGAGAATAAATCTCCGCAGCTGTCCCAAGCYTGAAAATAAGTCACCGCAGTGAAACAACTGTCACCGGGCCCATGCCGAACCTGAAGCGCGTTGRGAACCGTAGGACGTAATCATTCCGTAACAACCCCYGTATCCRTTCCGAASCAAACTCCATACTGTCGACCCAAGGTAGCAGCACCCCATGCTGTCCATGCGACTCCCGTTCTCAGAGCATCCCAACTGCGGTAATRTTAGTAATCAAGCAAACCAGGGAAAGCRACGCAGGGAACCTCGACCATGGGCAGTAGTGAAAGCTTGTCTAAAATCCGGGRAAAATGATCAATCCGGGGCCAGAGCTGACGGCGGGTAATCAAGGCGAAATTAGGCCAATCTCCCAATAGTCATGGGTTTCCGTCCCTTTCATTGTTTTTAATCATTCTTCCCTTTCCTTAATTCTGTTKTCGGAAATAGTAAATTAACCGTAAGTTCCATAAAATTCAATTCCGAGAAAGTTTAAATAAATGGCCGAATTCCTTTTGTTTCTTTTCTCTTTTACCATTTTTAATCTTTTTCTATGTTTTTAATTTAATTGTCGAAAAAATAAAATAACAAGGGTATTCCCCCTAGAATTAAATGTCGTGAAAAATAAAGAAATTAAGGTATATTATGTTTTTCCCTTCTCCCCTACTGGTCTTAATCCCTCTTCCCATCTTTAATTACGGTACTAAAATAGACAAAAAAATTTGAGGCCCCATTTCGCCTCGGTCGTATGCTGCAAAAACGTTGCGGTAAGGTCAACTCCCTTGATGCCTCTCCGCGGCAGGCCAATCCGGGTCTAACCCTCTGAACGGTCGGAAATGTCAGTCCCTAGACATGCCGAGTGTGGCCACCCATCTCCCCATCTTTGAGGGTTACTCATAAGGCTCAGTGCGCCTAAAATCAGGAGTGCCCTGAGTTCCCCTAATTTTTGTTGCCTGGTCATACGAGACTACCATCAAAACACGGATCTGTCCCTGAGCCTAAGTCCCAAAACTGCAGATCTCAGGCGGCGCACTGCTTGTGGCCGCCTGACAGTTAGCCCGGACCACTTCTCGACGCCCCCGTCGAGCCCCTTGCAACTTACGTCAGACGAAGCGGACGAGCTTCAGGGTGATAGTCCGTAAAGGACACCCACGTCGGCGTTCAATTGTCTTATGCTTCAGTTTGTTATGAGTCCTGGGGCTAAGAAGATGCTTCTTGACTCTCCTGTTTCTTCTGGTTTTTGGCCCCGGCACGATCCTCCTTCTTTTCTGTCTTTGCCCCGAGAAGGGTGTCGTCCCGCCAGTATGTTTAACCCGAATTCTCCGTCTAGCTCACTTGGAGACGAATAACCATCTCTTCTCTCTTCTCAAAGCTATCCCTTTGACCTTTCTCTTCTCTGTTCTTTTCCTTTTCTTAGAACTCTCCCCTGCCTCGAATTGCCTCAAGGGGGCTCGATCCTCCATTATGGCTTTCCCTTTCCCTATCGGGCTGGTCAGTGATAAGGCGGRCGCGGGCCTGGGCCTAAACAACTTTAATCTANGGCGCGGGCCTGGGCCTAAACAACTTTAATCTAGCACCCGCCACTGGGTCCTTCCACTTGGATCCGTCTAATTCTGCTATCATATATGCACCCTAGTCGAGTGCCTCAACCACTCTGTAAGGTCCCATCCATCTATTAGCAAGCTTTCCGGTCCAGGTCCTTTCCAGCGCTGCATCGTAGAGAAGGACCATATCTCCTACGCTTACCCTCTCTTTCCTGATTCGCACGTCCTTATCCCATCTCTTTTTACCCTTGTCCCTTTGTGTCGCCAGACGATCAGCTGCAGTCATGAGGTTATCTTCTAACCCGTAGGCTATCTGTCTCGTTCGGGCTGCTAAGAGTTCCTCTCTGGACATCTCCTCCGCCCAGTCGACGGTTGTCCAGCTGTCGACGTAAAACTCTATGGGAAGCGGACAATGTCGTCCGGACCACAAGGTGTATGGTGGGTATCCGGTACTAGCCCGGACCGTGACGTTGTCCGCCCATATCGCGTATCGAAAATATTGTGGCCAATCACTGTCCTTACCCTTGCACCACTTGGACAGTGACGCTATCAGAGTCTGGTGTCCCCTCTCTACTGGGGAGTTCGACTGTGGGTGATAAGCGGTGGCTATCGAAACTCTCGCACCGGCTCTCGTAAACACGCTCTGAACCTCGTCGGCTAGAAATTCCGCCCCTCTGTCCATCACTATCTTGCTGACACAACCATACCTAGATAAGTACTCTAGGACAAAGTTCTTTACTTCCTTTGCCGCCTTATTCCTGATAGGTCTACCGTCCACGAACCCAGTGAAATCGTCTCGTATGTTCACGACGTAGTTCATATTGCCTACCCCTCTCGGCATTTTCACTAGATCGATGTGTACCTTCTCTCCTGGTCTGGTCGGATAGGATGGATGAAGTGGCTCTTTGTATTTAACGAGAGCTCTCTTCTGGCACTCTTCGCATGTCATACAGTACCTCTCGACGTCCTTATATTGTCCTTCCCAGCAGTACAGCCGGCGTATCTTTTCGTAGGTTCCTTTAACTCCCCTGTGTCCTCCGACTACCCCGTCGTGAAGTTCCGCAACTATCATCTGTCTCTCCTCAGGATCACAGACCACTCGTAAGGGTATTCCCGACCCTACTGGCCTTCGAAAAAGGTGGCCCGCTCTAAGGCAGTACTGGGCTGCTTGCCTCCGGATTTCTGAATCTTGACTCTCCTCTCCCGTCAGGTGTAGTCCGATCATTCGGTACTTGCCCTCGTAAAGATTAACTAGAAATCTCTCGGCGCGCCTCGGCTCTGCCATTGTCAGAGCTCCAGCTGTTATCGGACGCTCGAGAGGGATGCGTGAAAGTCCATCTGCCACAGCATTTTTAGTACCAGATATTCTCTCGACCGTGTAATCGTATAGCCGAATCCGTATTAACCATCGGGCGATGGTCGGGTCCGTCAGACTAAAGTCCTTCTGGAGGACAGAGGCAACCGCGGTGGGGTCTACTCTCAAAATGAACCGTCGCCCATAGATATAGTGTCTAAACGTGTCTAGACACCGGAGAACAGCTAACACTTCCTTCTTGAATTGACTGTAGTTACGCTCAGCCGTATTAAGCGTCCTACTCTCAAATCTCAACGGTCTTTCCTTCCCTCCAGCGTCCCTCTGAGACAACAAACCACCGACTGAACATGGTCCAGCATCCGTGGACACTATGAAAGGTCTCTCGGTCTCATCGTCAAAGAATGGCACACCCAACACGCGCCCTCCTTCCTTAAATTCGTCTTTAAGTTCTTGCATAGCAAGTTCCTGCGAAGAGTTCCAATAGAAGTTTCCAGTCTTTCGAAGGAGTAACCTCAATGGCTCAGCCTTCTCCACGTACCCCCGTATGAATATACGCCAGTAACCAACCACTCCTAGAAACTGTCGGACCTCGGTTGGGCTATGTAACGGTGAGGGTCAGTTCAGAACTTTGTCTAACTTTGCCGTTTCTGCTCGGCGTCCTCTCGAGTCACAGATAAAACCCAAGATCTTAATAGTCAAGATGGCCCATCGGCTCTTTGTTCCGCTGACTGTTAAATTCGCATCGTCCAGCTGCTCGAGCACCGCGCAAATATCTGTTAGGTGCTGCTTGACGAATCTTCTAACTCCAGGTACAACCTCTGTCTCATCCCTGTCTACTGGCCCTTTAATAGGAAAGTCGTCCAGAAAAACTTCAACCTTATTAGGGATGAAGTTCTTGAGGACGGCTACCATGGCTCTCTGAAAAACGGCTACCCCATTAGTCCAACCTATAGGGATGACCATCATCTGAATTAGTCCCAATGGCGTATGCATAGCCGTGAGGTGCCTGTCCCTAGGGTCAAGCGGTACCTCACCATAGCCTGAGAACAGATCGCAGACCGAATAGATAGACCTACTTGCTGCGCCTTCTGCCAGTAAACCGGAGTGTGGCACGGAGCCCACGTCTCGTATCGTCACCGCATTGACCTTCTGAAGGTCCTGGATCCATCGGATCTTGCCATTCGGCTTACGCAGGAAGAACCATCGATTTGCATAAGCACTATCAGACGGCTCCGCAACGTGGGAAACCATCTTTTCTTTCAGGAAAGCGATAACTTCCTCTTTCTCCTTCTGGGCATACTTCCATCCCGCGTCGTTCCAGGGAACATGTGGTATCGTGTAAATCCTTGCTGGCTTAGCGTATCTAGGATCAATCCTACCGCGTTCCGCGTCGCTGAAAGCTATTGCCTTATCACATGTCTTCAGAATTTCTATCACACGTTCTCGCTCCTATGGGGTCAAATTTCCATCTCCGATGTCCATCCCTGCTATCCTCTCTTCCGTTAGGCGTTATGGCTCGTTTTTCTTTCTTTCCTTGATTTCTTTCGCGATCTCTTCTTCCGATATCCCTTCCAGTGCAGATCGCTCGCGGCCCACCGCGACTGGCTTAACTTTTTGAGCTACTCGCTTGTGTCGCTTGGGTAGCCCCTCATAGGGGGCCGTGCCCTTAAAAAAGACACGGACCGCCAAATTCCTCATCTTTTTCCTTTGGGTACGAGTTGCCGTTCACTATTAGCCGACTCCCTAAATCTTCCACCTCCACGATCCGACCTTCTTCCTCTGTGAGCAGTGGTCCATATTTCTTCTCGCGAAATCGCACCGCGCGACAGGAGATAGGTAACGACTTAATCTGATCACTGGCTCTGGCACCCACAGCGAGAGCCGCTCTGTTCCTCGGATCCCGAGGCTCCACTGTCTCAATCATTACCCGCGTCCCGTCTGGTTTCTTAATGCACAATGTTTGGCTCCCATCAGGTCGCTCTATCGTCACCGCATGCACGTGGCTGAGCCACGTTCGTCCCAAGAGTAGGTCGGAGCTGCAGTTCTTGACTGCAAAGACAGGCAGGGTCACTCGTACCCCTTGGACCTCTATGACTGCCTTGTGACAAACCCCAGTGATCTGTTGCTTTCTCCCATCAGCCGTCTCTATCTCGAATAGGTATGACCTATCGAGGCCCAGTCCAACTTGTACCGCCAGGTCCTCGTCTATGATGACAGCCTCATTGTCGTTATCAATCACAGCATCGAGTACCGCTTCCTCGTTTATAATCGTCTCCACGGCCCTGCTACCAAGTATATAAAACTTGTCTAGAGACACACCTTCCATTCCATCGAGAAGGACTGTCGCCATGCGATCCGCTCTGGCAGTCACCCCCGTTACTGTTACTGTAGAAGCTTCCGCCTTAGGGGCGTGACCCTCCTCGGATAGAGGTATGCGAGTCTTCCGCGTGATCATCTGTAACTCATCACGAGCCGGCTTCGATGCCGCCAGGTACTCCAGAATAGAGCACTGCATGGGTTGCCGAAGGGCCCGCCTCAATGGCTCGACCGTGTCAATCTCGTCCAGCGAGCTCTTCATTAAGAACTTCTTTACTCCCCGCTTTCGCGGCGAAAGAATAACCTCCTCTCCATCGATCCGCTGCCCGTCCTTCTCCGCCATCACGTAATCCGTGTCAGTTTTCTTCGATGTAGAGACCCTCTCGCCGACTTGGTGGCTGCCACCCTTATGGGTGTGGTCGCCATATCCCCCTCAAAGGTTATCTTGATGCTCTGGCTCCTGACCGGCTCCATTCCTTTACTCGTCTTTATTCTCCTTGCTTCGACATTCTCCTTCATCGAAGGGAACATCGATACATCTCCGAGATCATCTGCCCACTTGACGTACTTGCGGTCGTCAAGCACGACAAGTCCCTCTTCTATTGCACGTTTAAGGTCCGGGCAATCCCTCTTGATATGATCTTCTCCTCTACAGTAGACGCATGAGTTCCTCGGAGTTGTTGCCTTGTCGTCTGCGCCTCTAGAGATCGAACTCCTGGCCGCCTTGGGGTCAGGCGACTTGGGATATGGTTCTGATGAGACGTCATATCCCTCTCTCTCATTCCGACCGCGCGGATCGTTGCGCCGGTCTCCTCCAAACCCTCCTTGGTCATACCGCCCTCGCGAATCATCCCGGCGGTCCCCCGAGTTATATCTCCTCGTGACTCATCGCGTCGGTCCCCTCGGTTGTACCATCCCCGCGACTCGTCGCGGTGCTCTCTCGCATCTTCCCCGCGCTCAAACCGTTCGCGCGACCCATCTTGTCGTTCCCATTCCCGATCTCCTCTCTCATACCTACTTCCTCTGTAGCCATCTCGACCCGACTTCTCGTATCTGTCGTCCCTATATCCATCTCGGTCCGATCTCTCATATCTATCGTCCCTATATCCATCTCGTCGGCTCTGTCCTGTCTCCCATCGGCCGCGGGAGTCGCCTCTACCCCGATCGGCCTCGTAGGGAGGGCTTCGCGGATAATCATCCAACCTCCTTGCTTGCACAAACGGCTCGCGATCTCTGCGGTCTCGGTCTATCTCATCGTCCCTACGTCGCCATGGCTCATCGTCTCTCTCTCTTCCCCTCGTATGATAATCAGTCAGCGTCCGAGGATTTCTATCCTCGACACTCCTCCAGGGATCGTTGTTCCTACGGTCCCAGCGAAGTGAATAGGGCCCTCCAGGTTTGTCCCGGTAGGCCGTGGCCCCTGTAGCGGTCACAATCTCTGTAACCTGTCTCGTTAATCCCTTCACCATGTCCCGTATCTCCTTCACTTCCTCAGCCACGGCCTCATTCTTCTCCGACCAGGGATAGTCCTTGAAATCTGGACATCTATCAGTGGCATACTCCTTGTAGAGAGAGAAGTCACGTCTCCTCATCTCTCTCCACACCAAGTCCTTGTAATCGTCTGCCTCTGCCTTTATCGCGAGCTTTAGAACTTCTGGGAAATCAAGCCTGTCACGCGGCAGATCTCTAAGTATACTCTTTTGCCTACCTTTGGACAAGTGTCCGATGAAGATAGTACAGCGCTCGACCTCTGAGATCTTCCCCTTCTTCATCAGCACGTCGGAGATCTTTTGGAAACGCATTCCAAATGCCCATACGCTCTCATCTCCATCTTGAGTCATTGTTTCAAGGTCCTTGATGAAATACTTGTTATATTCCAATTTGTAAAGCTCAACGAGGTTCTTCTTGTACGTAGTTCATTTCCCATCCTTCGGTCGAGCTTCCTTAACTTCCCTACCAAGACTTGGGTCCATATTAAATAGGAAGTTCTCTATAATCTCTTCCTCCGACCACTGACTCCGGCTGGCATGAAGCTCCCACTTCTCCAGATATGCAGTGATACCATAGCCCCTAAAGGTAGGAGGCTCTGAGACCTTGTGCGTAATAATATAGCGGTCCTTGCTCTCGTAAGGGAGCGGATATGACTCCCCTGTCTGGGGGTCGAAGACTCGCCTGGGCGGCGCCCTGTCTCTATCTCTATCCCTCCAATAAGAATCCCTCAAATTCTCTCTCCAGTCGTCTCTGTGTCTATCCGCTATGGTGTCCCTCCGCTCGTACTCGGGGGAGCGTCGTCTCATCGCCTCTCGTCGTCCGCTCGAGGTACCCGTCCTTAGAGCCTCCCGCGACTCTGTTGCAACTGGTTCGCCTCTTACGTCGGGCCCTCCGTCATTGGTTTGATCAGCCCATCTCAGCGGTGCTTCTTGCCTAATTCGTTCCTTCAGTTCTCTCAGAGCTCGGTCGGGCGATGTCCTATACTCCTCTCCCGCTTCGCCCACGGTCGGTTGTGGCCCCATCGTGTCAGGTTCCATTGGACCGCCTGAAGACGCAGTTAGGTTTCCTTGCCAATTGTTACAACTCGACCCTATGACAGTCGCTGCAGCCCGGACCTGTTTCTTTGTCACGGCTCGCGTCCGCCTCCAAACTTAGCTCTCGATYGCCTTGATTACCACCTCCAGTAACCCGTACCGGCCGCAGATCTCGTGTTCTCCCTCTATCCCAAGAATCCCTGTGTCTAAGTAAACCTCTCCTTCGGGATCGGCCAACAAGGCCGTGCCTCTCCAGATCTGTGGCTCACCCGTGACACCCCTCAAGAGTCTCTGAGCGTCTCTCTCTGTCCTCCTTGCTAGTTCTCCTAGCCCTGTCTGAATCGGTTAGCCCGCTAAAGGCCGTCCTACTGCCGTCCAATGTCGCCCATCGACCTTTCTAGCTTCCTCTATCCTTCCAAGAGCTCCCAATTTCTATTTCCACTACCTTATCTCCTCAACAGTTACGAGGTCATCTGTCTAACAGCTGAAGTAAGTTAGTGCTATAACGACTTGTAGCCTCATCGCCGACCGCTCCAATATATCATAAAATGTCTCAAAGTCCTCACTATCTCCCCCTTCGTCTATTGCCTCTAAAGTCTTCATCGCTTCCTTCCAGTACCGGTTGTGAGCGGCTAACACCCTGAGTATTGCACCATCTGTTAGTACTCTCCCTAACTCTCCCGCTTTCCTGGCTTCGCTTATCTTCAACCTCTCAGCCTCTCTGGTCGTCTCATACCATGCCCTTATCCGAGACGGCCCTTCGAAGGGTGTTACTCGGAGTACGTATTTTATCCTCCGTCCTCCTTCTATTCCAATCCAAAGCCCTGTCCCCCTTGCCTCGCGCAGGGCACGGCGGAAACACTCTGTCTGCTCAACTATGCACAGTCTGGTATGGAGCTGGAGTTCTATGATCACTAACACTAATGGTCCATCCAGTCTCCCTACCACATGTAATGAGTACCAATCCGTCGTGTGTTGTGCAGTCGCGCTCATGTCCCTTCGCTACTCCCCTACGTAACTTTGTCTTCTGTTTTCTCGCTTTCTGCAGATCGCTTACTAGTTTCTCTGCGTGATACGCTTCTAACCTTTACCTTCTCCAGAAAGTCTGATCTCCACGCCTGGATAATCTCTCTCTCTTCCCTAAACAGATTGTCTAACTCTCTTGTCACGAGTTCAGCCCTTCGCAACTTGCTTTCGTTTTGACACGACCAGATCTCCCTTAACTTGTCCCCCAACTTCTTTATCTGGTTCAAGAGTGGTTCTTTAACGCGCTTTCTCACTMTTCCGACTGCCTCACTCTCCTCTTCCATACTTGGTCCACATCTTTCTCCAGCTCACCCTCTCCCCCTCGCTCTAGTCTCCGCTACTGTCTCATCGTGGTAGTGCTCCGCGCGCATATAACCATGAGACCATATCATCACATCATAGGATATCGAGGTTTGGAAGGTCACTCGTGCCAGTACATCAGCTCTACGCTCGTGGATCAAATCCCTAGCTCGTTGTCTGCACTCACTCGCCGTCAAGTCCTCGTCTAAGTACGCTCGGAGAAGTACTGTCACAGTGCATCCTGTGCTTACCAGTTGCTCTCCTACACGCATCGCCGTGGTCGTCCTTCCCGGCATTCCCTAAGCTGCGACCTCGAAGAGAAATCTCGCATCCTTTAGCCCCGCGTAATCGATCTCTGCCCGTCTCCTGCAATACCTAATCAGATCGATAGGCCTCAGACAGTCCACCCAGCTCGTAACATCTATGATGTCGTTAAGCATCTCTCTACTGGGCGGCCCCCACCTCACACAAATGGCGTAGTATACTTCCTTGAAGCGGGGCGCTAAGCCCTCCCAGAGCGCGTAAAGTGTGTGCTCCACTGCTCTCTTCAAACGATCCACGCTCCCATAGGTCTGGCCTATCACAAAGGTAGGAACTCCGAATCGCCAATCCTTTCTCGGGAAGAGGGTCGGATGTGGTGGACCGTATACCAAGCAGCTTCTACTCGTCCTCCCTCCAGCGAGTCTCGCCAATTGCTGATTAACGATCACTTTGGCCAACAACTCGCTTCTCCACCAACTCCTGCTCGCCCCTGCGAGCGTTAGCCCTATCTCCAAATCGTGTGTTCTATCTGCTATTAGATGTCCGACCCCTTCTAGATCATGAGTCCTCTCGGGTCGTTCGTTACGTATTATCACTGTCCATAGGAAGAGCCCCTCTGCGAGCCACGTTCCCAAGTATCGTATCGGTACACGCCCTGCCTCTTCTAGCGCCACAGGAAGTGGTATGTCGTATCCAACCGCCGTCTCTCTGGGTCCTACAAGCTTCCCCACACTATACGATTCGAACTCTCGTGAGAATACATAAGCTAACTTGGCCGCTGAATCACTCCTCATTTCTTCTCCTACTCTCGGTCAGCATCACTCTACTCCCTCCGATACACCCCATCTCTCGACGTTGTTGACCCTTCTGACAACTCTCGCACTCAGGTCCAGTATGGTCGAATAGGTTCAGTAGCCAGGCTCACTCAACCGTCGCCCTGGTGCGCTCCTCTACCTCCTACGCCCGGACTGCTACTCCTATCCTGGGAAAATGGGCGTCTATAACGTCAATCTCCTCCCCGTCAACCTCACTCTCTGGGTCGACCCAGTCTGGCTCCCACAACTCCTCGTTGTCTTCTCGCTCCCAACCCTCGTCGTCAAACTCGTCCTCGACGCGGTATGGTGCCTGTCCTATGGCCTGGTAGTATTCCGTCAGCTGATGGCCGTATATCAGAGGTCGCCCGGCGTCCTCACTCCACCAGCTTCCCCAGTCGTTTGAGAAGAGCCGCCCGATGCAAGTCATGTACTCGGGGCCTGCTCGGAGCTCACTGTCTAGCCAATCCCAAACGCACAAAGACTTGGGTCACTCGTCGTCTATCGAGCGGATCAGCTCTATAAGCTGAACCCTCTCGTCTCCCCAACGAGGCCCACCGGTCGCAAGCGAATAATAGATGTAGTCTAGGTCGGCAGGTCTTCTCGCCAAGATCTTGAGATCCTGATAAGCCAGGTATGTCTCGACCCCTCCACCAATACCTCCAAAGACACTCTCTACTACGAACGTCGGAACTATCGCCCGCAGGCTCCTAACGTTGTACGGGAAAAACCCGTCCCGTGCTATTACGAGCTCGCCCGTGATATCAAGAGGAGGGCGTCCGTGAAATAGGGTCAACGGGTCGCTCGCGTCCTCTGCTCGGAAAGCCGCCACCTCTTCCCCTAGGTAGCGTAACGCCCTGCTAACTGCATCACTACTCCCTGTCGTCGCGAGGCCCACCACGGCCTCCTTGACCGCACCCGGTCCCAAATACAAGTAGGCTCTCACTACGCCCACTCCTTGCCCTGGCCGGTGCTCTCTGTACGTCCAAAGCCACACGTCCTCGGACAGGATTATGGACCTCCAGGCAAACTGGCCGTCAGCGTGTCGAATGCTGCGTCCGGGGATCGTGAGCT